TCCTTTTTTTCTGATCTTCTGGAGCTGCACATTGCAGCAGGGCTGGGGCTGTCTTGGCGTCACTAGACTGTATTTGTGTCTTTCTGTGGCAGGGATGCCTGGTGCCTGTGTGGGTGGAATGGGAAGTCTTGGCTTACCTGCCACTGTCATGGCAACCAGGTAACCTAAGGACTCCAGAAGCAAGTCCTTTCAGATGGAGAGGAGAAAGAATGGAAGAAAGCTGAAAATAAACAGAAAGAAATCTGTGAATGGAGAAACGACTGGAGTCTCACACCTGCAGCTTGCCTTGTCATTGGCAGTGAGGAGAATCCACCCAGTTCTCCTCCCCGCCCACCAGCTCAGCCACAGCCAAAGGCCGCAGATCAACCCGTCCTGCCTCTTGCCTCTAGCATGACCCCACTTAACCCATCCAGGAGGGTCGTGCTCTTCTGTGCAACATCCCCAGGGAAGGAGAGCCCCCCAAATGCTCTCAGCATCCCCGTGGTAACACAGAGGACAGTCCTGGACTGGAATTCGGCAGGATCTATATTCTGATCCCTCATCCATCTCACAAGGGCAGACTGTCTTAGATAGTTCTTTAATCTCACCCTCCCACAGGGGGTCGACGGACCCTTTACCTAAGGCATGGCTCCTTCCTTATTTGCTAGTAGGAGAACAGAATAGAGCTATAGTAGAAAAAAACTATGAAATTAAAGTCCTCATGGAAACACGAGTTAGAATTGCAATACTTGCACAAGAGGACTTACTTGTGCCAGGCACTGTATCTAGCACTTTGTGGGCATGACATCATGCCACCCTTGGAGGAGGTAAGAGTTGCTTGCAACAGAAAGATAAAGAAGCCTCAGAGAGGTTGAGCAGCCTGCCCAAGTATGCACAGCTGGTAAGTGTGAAGAGGCATTCAAAACCTAAGGAGACAATCTCTGAAAAACATGCTCTTCATGCCTCCCCGACACCATGTCCCTTGGGGCCAGGATTTTCGAGAAGACCTGATTTGTCTTGCCTTAGTCATTCCCTGGGCCCCAAAGCTTCAAGTAGAACATCAAGGAGTGTTTAGGGCCCTTTGATCCGTGGAGTTTGCTGAGCTCTGCAGACAAGATCATAATAATCCCCCCAGCCCGAGGGCTGGTGTCTCAGGAGCTGGACCAGAGGGGCTCATCCTCTTCTACACCTGGTGCCCATCCATTCAGCAAATGCCCCTTACTGCGCACCTGTAATGTGCTGAGTTCTATGGGGCACACAGGAACAGCTCCAATCCTGGAAGACACAGAGAAGAACCACTCAACTGTGGGTGGCAGCATGGGGAGAGGAGACAGGTCTGTAGCTAGCAGTCTGGAGAGACTTGGCAGAGGGGTACCAGCTGGGCAAGGAGGCTGGAGGAGAGACAGAGAAGAGACCGTGGGCACAGGTGTGGGAGGGACAGTGGGGACAGAGTCCACAGGAGGGACGAACAGAGCGGGGTGCTGAGAAGCTTGGAGGCTGGTGTCACAAAGACCTGGCATTAGATTCTGGCCATGCCACCGGCTGGCTGAGTGACTCTGAGCTGGTCATTTAACCTTTCTCTTCAATAGGGGTCGTTCTTACACTCAGAGGCATTTACCACTTCCTGCTCCAACACTTCAGCTTTTAACAGAGTTTCCTGCACAGATCATCTTAAGGCTAACGTGAGTTCGTCTGGCTACGGCTCATTTCCATCTCTTCTGCTCTTGAAGAAGCATAGGCCTGACCAGTCAAAGGTGGTAAAGCGGCCTCTTAGAAGCCTTAAACATGACAAAGATTATGGCCCTTCTCCCAAATGTACATAAAAATATACTAAATCATCACATACAAAACTTATGTAAATGCTAAGGTTAAAATAACATCTTTCCAGATTTATTATTATTATTGTTATTATTATTATTTATTATTATTGTTGTTATTATTATTATCATCATCATCATCATTATTTTTGCTAAAATCCTAGATTGCTTCCTTTATCAAGTTAAACCTTTCTAACAGTTTTGGTGTCCTTACTTTCTAATCTTTGTAGCACCTGAAGCAAGTTCGTAGTCTGCCTTTCGGGGTTGTCCGGTTCCCAGGGAAAGTGTGGGGGACCAGGAGCCCCTGGGCAAACAGCACACCTTTGGCCTATTAATCAGGTGCTGGGGCCAGCCAGGCCAGGTCATGCTCTCCCTTTCCCCAGATAAGTATACTGAGGCGCTGAGACTCCTGTGCCCTGGTGGTTGCACATCTACAGCCTCGATGGAGAGTCCAGGTCTTGTGACCAGTTGTGCCTGGCCAGCAACTCTTCCTGCCCTGTCTCCTGGCTGCTGCTTGGAAGCAAGGAGTGTAGACTTCTCTGCCACTTGGCAACGTTGCCAGGGACCGGAAGTCATGTCTCTTACTCCACTGGCAATTTGACGTGGCTGCTTAACAACCCGATTAATCAAACCCAGCTCATCCTGTTAGAATTAATGAGGCTGGGAAATGCTGCCATGAATGATGAGGGCTTTTGCCCCTCCCCCAACACCTCTCCCCACTCTCTCTCTCCTGCTTCTTTCTGAGAGCCACACAGCAACGACTCACTACCAAGGGCCCTTGGACCTGGAAGGGTGTGGTGAGCGTCCAGCAGTGTGGCCGTCTCCTGCCTTTTCTACTCTCCCAGGCACCACAGCTGCCCACCTGGAGCCAGAGCTGGCCATGTTCGAGGGGAGCAAAACTTGTTCATCAAACAGATATGAATGCATTTTGCCACCAATATTGGATGGAGAGTCTGTTTCAGGCACTATATTAGGTGTTAAGGATGCAAAGATGGAAAAGATATTGTCCCTGTAAGGGATCACGGTGTAGTAACCTAGGGACAAATGGGGGAAGTGCTGCAACAGAGGGGATGGGAAGGGCGGGAGCCACAGTGAAGGGGGCCCGTCAATACTGGAGGAGCAGCGTGGGAAACCAGGAAGGGCTGTATGGGGACCAGGCACTTTGAGAGTCTCTACCACCAAGTTCATTCATGGCGCATACATACAATGAGTGCTGGGCACTGGGCAAGGTGCTGGGGTCCAGAGGTCCACAAGTGGACATGGTCCCTATTCTCCTGGACTGGGCAGTCTCATCCCTATTCCTCGGGACAGTGCAGGGAACCTGAACAGACACTTGATTAACTTTTTCATTTACTCAAACACAAATGTTGTTGAGGGCCTTTGGGGAGGAGGGCTAGGCATTGGGGGAAAGGAGTGAACAACCCCTCATCCCTGCCTTCCAGGGCTTCTCTGACAAGTAGACAGGCATACGCACAGATCCTTATAAGGAGGTACTCAGTGCTCTAACAGGGATCTGCCCAAGGTGCTCGCACAAGGCACTCAGAGATCAAAGAACTGAGCTCAACCTGGACAAGTCAGGGGTGACTCCCTGTAGGAGGTGGTATTGGAACTATCATGAAGATAGAGAAGCAGTGTGACAGGTAGACCAGGTACAAAAGAACATTGTAGACCTCATCCAGGCCAAGGTGTGGTCTTTGAGTGATAGGGGTTGAATTGGAAGGGAAAGATGATTCTGTGCATCTTTGGAGGGAACAGCTGGTTCTACAGTCAACAGCAAAGACCATGGGTTAAATGTCTGTCTTACAGGTCAGGTGCTCCTGTGCTTGCTTGTTCAAAATGGGGAACAAGATGTGGTTTCCTGAATGGTGGGATCTCCAAGTTAGCAGGGACGTGGCTTACGTGGCCAAATCGCAAACACACCAGTGTGGGGCACAGGGACATCTTCTGGGTCCTTTGATAGGAGTGAGGTGGAAGGGCTGGGTCCACAATAAACGAGTTGGAATGGGAAGGGAAGGCATAGGGAGTAAGGAGAAAGAGTACCTGGGGTAGGTCAGAAGAAGGCACAGGCTGGGGAAGGGGGGTGGCCCAACTGTCAAGTCCTTAAGAAAGTAAATGACTTGGGGGTGGTGGGATGTAGCAAGTAGAAACCATGGACTCTGAGCTGGGAGGAAGAAAGACAAGCCAGAAGGGGAAGGAGGGAATGGGGAGGGGAGAGAGAGGGAAAAAGAGTCAGGGAGGCTCACAGAGGCACTTTGGGGCCACCACGTCGGGCCTGGCAGGAAGCAGATACACGCCAGCTTCAGTCACGGTCACTGACATGTCGTCACAGGGTGTTCTGGAGGCTAAGCCCATCTCTGCAGTCTACTCACAAGGGTCTTCGGATCCTGCCACCATCTCGCTGGGCCAGGTCCTCTGCCTCTCTGCTTCCAGGCCTACCCTAGACTAGGCTTCGTGGCCACTCCCAGCCAGGCCCAAAGGACATGCCTGGAGGGATGGATACACACCTCTTAGGTCCTTGGGATTCAGGCCTGCCCCCACCTGCCAAGGTTTAGTCACTCAGGGACCCGGGGAAGGAGGCTTCACAGAGGGACCTGAGTCTCCACGTGCTGGTCTGCGGGGGAGTGCAAAGGCTTCAGACCAGAGCTCCAAACTCGGGCAAAATGACGCTCACGACATGTCTAGAAGACTTGCCTTTGTTGTGGACATCTCACTATTGGGAGACTTTACATAAAAATCGCTCCCTAGATTCCCACGTGCAGAATGGGCTGGCGCTGACAGTGGCTTTCCCTTTCTTTAACTTGGGGTCTGGACCTTAGATTGGCCCGTGTCCCTACCAGCTGGCTGCCTGTGTCACTTGCATGGTCTGCCTGGCTCTGAGGGCATTAGAGCTTGAGACCCCCTTCACAGAGAAGTCCGCCAGGCTGGCACCCTCTTTGGACAGCAAGGGGCTTCCATAGACACCGACCCGCTCATTTTTACAGGCACCCTAGGCCTTGGGCGGCACCCAATGGGTGCTGAGGCTCTGAACTGTTAGTTGAGTTCACTGAGGCTGCCTGGCTCCCCTGTCCCCCATGGACCTCTGGTGCTTCCCGACAAAGCCCGTGACCTGGCTTCGGTGGTGTGGTCTGCCATCCCTGGGTGGCCCCACCCGTCGCTCCACACGCCAGGCGGGGACCTCACCGCCCTCTGCCTCTCTCCCTGCAGGGGGAGCTGCTGAGCCCATGCCGCTGTGATGGCTCGGTCAAGTGCACGCACCAGCCCTGCCTCATCAAGTGGATCAGCGAGCGGGGCTGCTGGAGCTGTGAGCTGTGCTACTACAAGTATCATGTCATCGCCATAAGCACAAAGAATCCTCTGCAGGTATGACCGGGAGCGAGGATGGTCTCCCCTTAGAGTCCGGGCAGGTCTGGAGAAAAGGAACGAGCCGGGCCGCGTGGGCAAGACGGCAGTGGCCTGTGGGCAGAGGGGATGAGAGAACTCGTGTTTTCTCCTCGGCCTCAGTAAGAAGGGAAAGGGATGGGGCAAAGGGAAAGGAAAGATTTAGAAAGAAAGAAGTGCGGGCGTGAGATGGTACACAGGATCAGTGAGCCAAGGGAGGGAGGGAAGGAGGGAGAGACGGCAGGCTGGATGGATGGATGGCTGGCTGGATGGAAGGGGAAAGGAAAGAAAGAAATGACGGAGGGGAGGCAGGGAGGAAAAGAAAGGAAAGAGGGACAGACCAGAGGTCAGGTGATAGCAGAATGGAAAAAGGACAGAGGGTGAGGGGTGTGAGGAGGAAGACTGAGGGAAAGCTAAGGGG